GCCCTTGGTGCATGAACCTGGGTTTCCCCCCTCAGATGGACTTTCACTCACCCACCAGCACACACCCCCTCACTCTGAGACTCTTTATGAACACTTGCTTTTGGGGAGACTCTCACAGTCCAACCTGTTCCATCGCCATCTTGCCCATAAGTCATTCATATTCTGAATTCTACATCTATCATGACGTACAAATCATTCTGGTTAGAATCCATTGCTTGGGAGCTGGTGGGATCCTTTTTGAATGTTGAAACACTTTGACTTTTGGAATTGCCACTGTTCTTGTACTAATTCCTTGTCATTTGTGGGGGCAGAAGTTTTTCTTTTTATTTTCTACTTTTAAAATTTATTATTATTGGGATGGGGCATTGTAATATTTTCTTATTCTTTTTTCCTTATGGTTATGTTTCCTATGTGTGTTGTGTGTGATCTGCTGGCTTTTTCCCTGACTCCCCATTCTCTTCCTGACCCACAGGCTGCAGGAACAGAAGCAGTGGTAGCTGCATTTAGGGAGGGCCCAATGGCAACCTCTCATGACTGTGTCCTCCGGGAAGTACTGAAGTATAGCTGCAGTGTTCAGGAAGGGAGGGTAGCTGCACAGTGCCAGGTGGCTTCTCCTGGTAGGAAGCCATTGGAACGAGTGTCTGGGCATCAGACCTGTGGGGACACAGAAGTGGCTGATCTCTTCACTTCCTTCCTGACCCACAGGTGGCAGGGATGGAGACAGTAGTGCTGGCTGAAAGCCATAGAGGATTTCTCCCTCTCCTCGTCTCCTATCTGGTTTGCATGTGAGAAAGGTCTGGCAGCAGCCAGGTCAGCATCTGAGAGGGGTCCAGCAGATAAAGTGCCACCAAAGGGATTGGGCAGGGATAGGGCAGTCTTTTTCCACTGAATGAGGACCCAACTTTCCCTGAGCCATGAGTGAATGAAGCCTGACTGGCTGGGAGTCCTGGAGCTTCCCTTCTCTGCCTGCATGTGGGTGGGCCACAGCTGCAGCCATGGTGGGTGTCTGGGAGGATCCTGACTGACACAGCACCACCGAATTGATCATGCAGGGGTGAGACAGCCTTTTCCTGCCTGGCCAAGGCTCTTTAACTTCATGGACGGCAGGGCTCCTGCCTGACTGGAAGTCTTGTAGGTGCTGTGCCTCCCAGTTCCCTCCCCGCCCCATGGGAGGGGCAAAGACAGTGATGGCAGGGGCTGTGGGAGGCCTATCCACCCCTCCACAAGCTGGTGGCCTCCTGGGGTCAAGCTGTGACTGCAGCCTTCAACTGAATCTGTGACAAGAGGGCCACCTCTCAGGTGGGAGCAATTCCCCTTGGTGGAGGTGTGCCCAGGGAGGAGAGGGTGCCCACAAGACACAGTCTGTGGCTGTGGAATCTATCCTGAAGGGTCCTTCCTTGGTGTGGTGGTGGCAACTGGCACCGGACCTCACAGGAAATAGGAACCTTCTAGGCTCCACCTAGACCTGAGTGGAGCCTCTGGACAGTCTCCAGGTGGCTTCCTGTGTTCTGCTGGATGGGAGGCTGGGGTCCAAGAGGGTTTCTCCCATCAGAGGTCCCCAACCATTTTGGCATCAGGGATGAGTTTCATGGAAGACAATTTTTCCACGGACTCAGAGGTGAGAGGCTGGGGGTGGGAGATGGAGGGGATGGTGCTGGGATGATTCAAATGCATTACACTTATTGTGTACTTTATTCATCTTGTTATTGCATTGCCATAGATAATAAAATATACAACTCACCATAATGCAGAATCAGTGGGTGCCTTAACTTGTTTTCCTACAACCGGACAGTGCTAGCTAGGGGAGATGGGAAACAGTGAAATCCAAAATGTGTTTCTTATGTCCAGTCTACTCAATAACCTCATCTTGGTTGCTGTCACTGCAGAAAACCCTGCTGCACAAAGAGAGGATGTTGGAAATGGAAGCAGGCTTTGAATGCCGATCTGACAGGAGGCTGAACTCAGGTAGTAATGCAAGACATGGAGAGCAGCTATAAATGTAGATGAAGCTTCATTGGCTCACCTCTTGCTATGTAGTCTGTATCCTAACATGCCACTGATTATACTGGTCCATGGCACGGGAGTTAGGGACCTATCTCCTATGACGAGGATTGCAGAGGTTTGTGGGAGGTGTGCAAAACCCTAGGGAACTCACCCACTCACCCCTTCCCTTAGTAGGAAGTCCTCTCCTGGCTCCGCACAAGGACCAAATCTGAAGGTAGCTGGGGCTCAGTGGTCCCAGATGTATTTCTGATGAATTTCTCTATTTGCTTCCAGTCTCCTGAAGAGCCAATATTTACTGTTTCAGACCCCCTCTGTGAGAGAGGTATTGACTAGCTGCTTCCAGTTGGTCTTCACTTTCCCCAGAAGCTGGTCTTTTTAAAACCAATTTTAGAAGTGACATTCCAGCACTTTTGCCATATTATACATTAGCAGTGAGTCATTCTATCTTACCCCAAATCAGAGAAGAATATTACACAAGGAAGTGAATACCACGAAGTGAAGGTCACATTGAAGACTGTCTATCTCAATGAGGCACTTTATATTTGTTTAATAAGTATAAAGTGTCATTTATATTTCCTAATATAGTTGAATTCCTCAAAGGGGTCAAGTCTACCATCTGTATTTAAGAAATCATCTTTAAAAAGTACATTAATAGCCATGTGTGGTGACTCACAGCTATAATCCCAGCACTATGGGAGGCCGAGGTGAGAGGATTGTCTGAGCCCACGGATTCAAGACCAGCCTGGGCAACTTGGCGATACCTCATCTCTACAACAAATAAAAAAAAAATTAGCCAGTCATGGTAGTGCACACTTGTCCCAGCTACTTGGAATGCTGAGGTGGAAGGATCACCTGAGCCCAGCAGGTGGAGGCTGCAGTGGCCGTGAGCATGCCACTGCACTCCAGCCTGGGCGACAGAATGAGATTCCAACTCAAAAAAATAAAAGTACATTAATCAATTTATACATTTTTTTGTCCAAAGACTAACACAAACTGTTAGAAAAATATAAAATATTAATATCAACTAAAGGATTGCATTAGTCTGTTAAGCAGGACTATTTAACTAGTTGGATTAGCTTCGTGTTTGGTTCCATTATGGCCAGAAGCCATGAATTAGTATTCAGAATTCTCAAGATACAGTTCAGAGAAGAAAGTGGAAAATGCATAAGCAATCCAATGACAGTCTATAGGGAAACTTCCATTTCTGGAGCTAGGCAAAGCTACTTAACCACCAGGAGCATCAGATCAGCTTTAGTCCCATTTAATTGTAAGCCTCAAAAATGTACCCCAATAGTGGACTAGATAAGGAAAATGTGGTATACATACACCATCAAATACTATGCAGCCATAAATAAGAATAAAATCATGTCCTTTATAGCAACACAGATATAGATGCAGCTAGAGACCACCAAACCAAGTGAATTAGCACAGAAACAGAAAATACCACATGGTCTCACTGACAAGTAGGAGCTAAACACTGGGTACACAAGGGCATAAGGATGGGAACAGACACTGGGGACTCTTAAAGGGGAAATGGAGGGAGGGACGTTAAGGGTTGAAAAACCACCCATTGAGCACTGTGTATTGTGTCTGGCATATAGTAGGCATACTGATTCCCTAGGGATGGATACTGCACCACTTCTCTTCCAATTTGTTAGCCATGGGCTTTTATAGTATCCATGTATCAGTTGTTGAGATACTTGGAAGGTTGAGTCACGAGGGCCACTTAAGTCCAGAAGTTTGAGGCTGTAGTAAGCTATGATCATGCCACTCCACTCCAGCCTGGGTAGCAGAGCCAGACCTTGTCTCTAAAAAGTAAAAAATAGCTTGACAGAATACAATTTGCTTTAAATACATTATCTCATTTGACCCTCAGAACCGACCTGTGTAGGAAGTAGACTAGGTAAAGTCATCTCAGTTTTACTTACTGAGATTTAGAGGGATTCACTGTCTAAGCTATAATCAATACGCTGGTAAATCTTACCTGAAGATTTTTATTATTTAAATGAGTCTCACATTTTCTAAAAGATACTGAAATAAAAGCAATTTTGGAACAGTAAAAAAAAAAAAAAAGTACTCCAGCCTAGTTGTGAAAGGAAAATAAAGTACACAACTTAAAAAACAAACTGCAAAATGGTATTTATTTACATTAAAACATGAATTACCTGTGTATACATAAATTAAAGAGGCACAGTTTACTATACACAACTAATATTTAGTACCTATTATACACAGTAGTATCTGTTAAGTCAGTGGTTTGAGGGAAAACACAGTACCAAAACATTGCTGATAAAAAATAAATTACTCATTCACATATTCTAATTATACAAGACACATAACATTTTAAAAGTCACGTACTTCAAAAAACACTAGCTAAATATACAACTAAGGTGTATTAAGTTTGTTTTATGAAAAATGACTTCAGATTGATATCCATAAATGATCCCTTTCAGATGCATTATCTTTTAAATAAACTACACTGATTTCAAGACTACTTATATATAGCCCTCTAAAATATGACTGAAGACAGACATTCCTTATTTTTTAAAGGTATAAATATATTAGAGAATATGCTAAACTACTGCCCTCAAATTCTAACACTGCCATTCTATTTATCAGATAGTCAAATTACTTAAACTCCAATTTCAGTACGTAATAGCCACCTGCCCTATTTTGCACAGTTTCCTTAAAAAGCATTAACAGATTGTCTTGAACCATCTCAAATATTTGACAAATTCAAGTTTTTTTAAAAAAATCTTAAAATGCTTTAGATTACAGTTGATTCTATATGTGGAGATTCTGAGATAAGTTGAACAATTTTCTCTTACAGAGCTTCACAAAAAGACTTTTTCACTAAAATTTATTAAAGATTTCTATAATGTCCAAGAGAACATTTGGAATATTTTCATAATGCAGTGAAGGATTCATCTTTGGCATTTCTCCATAAGTTCTATCAAAAAAGTTTATATATTTCTGTCTACCTACTACACACATTTTCTGTACACACGAGTCTTAGATTGAAATTTGAGTTTTAACAGCAATTTCATTGTGAAGAAGCATTTTTTATATCTAAAAATATTAGTAACATTCAGCTTTTTACTACAAAAAGCTGAAATGTTTTGATGTTGTTTAAATAAATTTGCTTAGTTCTTTTTCACTTATTGGAAATTCACTATCCTTTCAAATTCAGATAAAACAGACATATTTTAACAAAAACGTTGACTAGGATATAATTTCTGAATAATAATATGAAGCTTTCCTCTATTAGGGAAAATATATATGTATACATATCTCTTCAAATAAAATGAGTAACGCAGAAAGCAAACAACTGTATTTTCTTTCTTGGTCCCTGTGGCTTTTCTTACAGGAAACAAACAAACAAAAAACACACACACAACTGTGCTACAAATGCTGATTTGTTGAAATTTTTCCACAATGTCTTCTACATCTGATTTTCACATTACTTCTGGTATGCACTAAACTTTGTTCTTGTTGCACACTAACTTAATAGCTGAAAATAGTCCATGTGTGACTATTTTAAAATAATAATAGGAAACAATAACAAGGTTTTTGTGATTGAGCAATTTTCCCCATTCAAACAGAAAACTCCGCAAAATGGAATCAATTACCATCTGATAGCTCAAATACATGCTATATTCCCCTAGGTTTACTGTATATATAAATAAACAAGAACACACAACAAATACAGTAGGCAATTAATGCTATTTACCAATGTCTGCAAATGTCTTAAATAATAAAAATAAGATAATGATGGCTTTAATGTGATAGTAACACATTTTTTTTAAATGAAATTAATAATTCCCTATTATTTTCTAACCAAAGAGAATCATGGAAATCCAAGCAGAAAATGATGTATAAGACATGAAAGAACTAGAATATAAATTGGTTATTTCCTACCTGGCAGTGAAACTCTTGAATAAATCTTTAGAAAGCACACTGAATTTTTATTAAATACATAAAAAACCTGGAGAATGCAGATATGAGAATATGACACATAACAGGATACTGAATTTGTGAAAGTAAATTTGTTATATGAAATGGCAGTTAATGAATATTATGAATGCAGCTTACATTGACAATACTGCTATCTCCCAGTCACTGTGAATACCTGACATCAATCCTGTCCTTCAAGTATAGTTTGAATTTATAGTTACATGTGGTAACCAAGTAAAAAAATTACCAGCTCCTGCTAATACAATTTAGTAAGAACTGGAAATCTTATAATTGGCACTATTTAATGTTTACAGAATATAATGTTACATGAATATGGTTACCTACTTCCAGAGTCCAGAAAATATAGTTACCCATGCCCCTATAAGAGAGTTTTACCTCAATTCTATCAGGTCAGAAGTACTTGTTGGAATGGGATCTTTCCAAAATCAAATAGGATCAATCTGTTCACGTCTAATACTAAAACAAAATGCTATGTAAAAATTTCCTGTATCTAAATGTTGCCTTCTAGGTAAATCTGAGATATTTTAGATAGACACTTTCTTTTTTAGAGGAGGTAGTCTGATAAAGGGGAAGAGACCATCAGACAAGATCACAAATAATCATTCCTCCAGAATTCAGTTGAAGTTGGTTTTTTGTAAGTGCTTATTGGGAATTTCTAAAGCGCTGACTTGAAGAGGCCATGAGCCACCATCAATCCCTGCTTGGATAGCCACTCCTGTGACCACTGCTAGGTCAGGGTCTACAGACGTGTTGGGATCCTTTCCAAAAAACTCTTGAATAACTTGGCGGATTCGCGGAATACGAGTAGAGCCCCCAACTAAAACCACTTCATCAATCTCAGTCTTTTCCAGGTGGCCTTCTTTTAAAACTTGCTGAATGGGTACAAGTATTTTCCGGAAGAGATCTTCATTAAGGGCATCGAAGAGCTCCCGTGATACTTCTGTTTCAAATAGCACCTGACTTTCTCCACTTTTCTTTCCAGAAAGGCCAGGTCCAAATCCACTGCTCGCATGTTGGCCACTTGCTGGGGAGAGTCTGTTGTTTGGCAGTTCGGGGTCGCTACTTTGAGTTTCCTTCCTGTCCTTTTCCTCCACTGTTAGTAGCACTGACACCTGGGAAGACTGGTGAAGAGTCAGATTTAATTTGGCCGTTTCCACAGCCTGTCTTAACCTGTGGATTTCCTCTTTGCGAGCTGGGACGAAGCCATATGCCTGATATATTTGCTTATATAAGTGCTGAAGCAATCTCTGATTGAAGTCCTGTCCTCCCAGTTTATTGTTTCCTAAGTGAAAAATTAAGAAGTTTGTGTCATATTTATATATACCTGTGTATATATACGTGTCCTATGTATAAAAATATTCTGAAAATAATAAATCCCTTGTTTAATTAAGATTTTATTCATACAAAGAGTGATTAAAAATTGCCGGGTTAAAACAATTTTAACCCAAATATGTGCTGCTAAAAAACAGTGTCAACAGGGTCAAAATTTTTAAATGATGTAAAACAAAAGATCTCTTAATGATATCAAATAATTTTCCAGAAAACAGAAATTGAGAATACAGATTCGTTTTAAATAGCTACTTAAAAATACTGAACATCATTCTCAACAGAAGTGCTTCTTATACTAAAAAGTGGGCATTTTATCTTTTTCCCCTTTCATTCTTTTGCTTGCATGATTAGGAGCTGAAAAGTAGGAAAATAATTTCAAAGGAAAAATGTAATATAGTATAAATCCTAACACTGAACTTGGTTCAAAAGAGTCTGGTTAAGAGAAAAAAAAATGCAAACATTGGAACACCTGTACCTTACAGCTCAACTTTTTAAACAGGCATTATTAACCTAAATTAAGCAAAACAAAAACCTTTACAAAAAGACTTAGAATGCAAAATCCTGTAAACTTATCATTTCCTAGGCAATATCAGCATTAGATTTTGTAGAGGTATCTACTTTATAAAACATATTATCACATGAAATATACTCATCACCCTTAGTTTAAAACTTTTCTTCCCTGTTCCCTTCTTTCACCATTATCATGAAAAGACCTGTTGACTCATGTATTAATTTGATTTATTGGATGCCCAGTCATTTTTTGAGATTGAACTTTTTGTTGTAAATATATGTAAATAGTGGTATTAAGTTACATGTATAGAAAACTACTAAAATAAAGTAAAATAATTCTGGGGGGAAAAAAGAACATGTTAGATATGTTAAGGAGAGCACTACCTGAACCTAACTCTTCTTTTATTTTTCTTACCAGACATTGCTCGTGTTAGAAACATTCCTCCTTGTTTATTCAGTAACGACACATCTAGAGTTCCTCCACCCAAGTCTATCACCAAAACATGGAAGACATCAGCCTTGTGGAGACCATAGGCCATAGCTGCGGCTGTTGGTTCGTTTATTACCCTCAAGATCTTCAGTCCTGTAAGATAGTTTGAAATAAAAATCTCATGAAAAGACGTTATCAGAAATTCCTTATCACTCAATCTCATAGCATGTTTGTGTTTTCTGTGACATGAACTCCACTGATTAATAAGAGCAGACACAAACACAGTAAAAATATGAAATGGGGAAAATAAATTTAGCTTCTTCTAAATGGTATCATTAAAATTATTCTGAAAGAAGACTATAATATAAATAAACAAAAGCCTAGATTCAGTGGAATAAATCCTTCTATTCTTCATTAATACTTACCTTTCAAAAAAAAACTCTCAATCTTTTCTGATATTGATACTCTACCTAGAAATATATGAGTAATAAAATTATAATCATTATACACTATAAATACTATGGAAATAAGATATACCTATCTTGCATAGGCTAAAGATCAGGTTTTCTTGAACAAAAATCCTGCTTTAAACTTTAAGTTGCCATATTTAATGAGTGGTCTGGAAATTATTATGGCATTATGTATCAGGAGCTGTGACAATATTCAAACTCTAAAGAATTCTTCCAAAGATCCTAACACCTTCCCTTTAGCTCTCTGACTTTTACCACTCATTCTGCTCCAGCCACACTGGCCAACTTCCTATCCTTATCCTTTTATGGATACTGAATTGGCCATTTCCTTTCCTCGCAACCCACTTTGTCTTATGTCTATATGGCTAACTAACTCATTTCCTTCAAATGTGCTTAAATGTCACTTCTCAATGAGGCCTGACTGGCCAGTCTATTTAAAACCTACCAGCCTTCCATTCCCTGACCACTAACAGCACACTGCCCCTATTCCTGTTTCTTTTTTTTTTTCATGTTACTTTCTGATATACACTGTACTATACCAGTGTTCTCAACAAGGGGTGATTTTACTTTCAGGAGAAATTTGGCAACATATGGAGACATTTTTTATTGTCACCACATGGCAGGGGAGGATACTGCTAATACCGAGTGAATAGAGGTTGGGATGCTGCTAAATATTGTGTAGTGCACAGAAGAGTCCTTGACAATGAAGAAATATCAATGAATAAATGGCCCAAAAGAAAGATCAATGAAGAAATAAATGACCCAAAATATCAGTAATGCTGAAGGTGAAAAAGTCTATATTAAATTTATCTTTTATGCTCCATCTGCTTTCCTCTAGTAGAATGTAAGATCCATGAGAACAAGGATTTATTTCTTTCATTTACCAAAGACTCAATATTTGTTGAATGGTGCTACATGAATCCTCTTCCACCTCAGATTCTTTTAAAAACATTACATTCACCTTAACATTAAAGAAAGTTAAGAAAAAAAATTCCTCACTGCTAACAAGTGTCCATGTTCTCTCTCAGCTTTTATGTACCTAATGTGATTGGTTCTTGTCTTATACATATTTGACATAGTACTATAGAGCTTTCATAATTACCATTTATAAATCTACACAGAAATTCATCTATTTTATCTATCACACAGTTTGTGTATGTGCCTACAGTTAGGTGGCTTGGAAAGTGATAAATCTGACTTCAAGAAGATTTTCAACTTAACAAAATTTTGAGAAAAGTACAACTCAGGCCAAGGTGCTATTACCTGCTAGGTTAGCAGCTTCAATTGTTGAATTTCTCTGTTGTAGATCAAATTCTGCTGGTACAGAAATTACAGCATTAGCAACTGGCATTCCAAGATATTCCTCTGCCATTTTCTTTAACTTCAACAACAGTCGAGAGCCAACATATTCTGGGGTAACGGTGAAGGTCTCATTACTTGTTACAGAAAACTCAACCATTCCATTTTTGTTTAAAACCTGAGAATAGGATTTGAAAAAAAAATAAAAGTATTATATACTAGATTTATTCAATAAAAACTTACTTTTACTTCCATAAAATAAAAACAAATTCATTTATAATATATCTGATACATTCACCAAAAGCGAAGTTTATTAAATGCAGTATTTTAAAATCTGAGAATGGAATTGACCCTAGTTTTCAATAAAAGAAGAATAAAATTCATCCCCAAGCATATAACTAGGCCACAGATTATATACATTTGTTGAATGAATGAAAGAATGAATGATGAAATATAAGAAATAATAGTTGTTCAATCATGCATATAACTCAGATGTTTTCTCTCTCCTTTTTCCAATTTACTTGTTTGTAAAAGTAAAAGATAACTGAAAGGATTTTTCCAGTACATATTAACAAAAACAATTTAAGTACTTCATTATGTTCTTATCCAGGAATCAAATATCATTTACATTTTTGTTTCCATGAAAACATGTATTTTGTACATTATCCTTAATAATGTGGGTACACATTTAAAAATGAGATTAAATCTAAAACAAACCACCTTGGTTTACCAACAGATTGTATTGTATTAATATCAACAGTAAAGATAACTGATTATTCCAAGACATTATAAGAAATTTTCCAAGGCTGGAACAAACAAAAACAAGCTACCCAAACACTATTAAAATAAGGCACAAACACACAAAACCATAGATTACTTAGAAACTTAAACAACTTAGAATAACTTTTGATCAATAAGTAATGTACCCAAAGTTGTAATTTAGAGGAAATGTATAACTTCAGATGACTTTACCATTACATAAAAATTGTAAACCAATAAAGAATTTCAAGAAGCTAAAGGAAAAAAAAAGCACTAAACCTAAGAAATGCAGGGGGCACTTTTTTCCTCCTTTAAAAAGTGGATAAAAAATTGAGAATTTTTATGAATAAGGTTATTCAATAAGCAGCACTGATACAACTATCCATATTAAAATTAATTCACTTAGAATACCACTTCATAATTTAGGAAAAAAGTGTACATGGAAAAAAGTTTTAAATGTTTGAAAAAGAAAACAAAAACCACAAAACCCAAATAAGCACATACACAAGAGCATTAGAGGAAAAAAATAACAAATGGATAGGATGGGAAAGGCCATAGTAAATCATAGTAAGAGTCAAAAATTTTTAAAAATTTTTAAGACAATTTTACTACGTAAGAACACATAAGGCCAGGCTCGGTGGCTCAGCCTGTAATCCCAGCACTTTGGGAGGCCGAGGTGAGCGGATTGCCTGAGCCCAGGAGTTCGAGACCCGCCCAGGCAACTTGGTGAGACCTCATCTCTACAATAAAAAAAAAAAAAAATTAGCCGGGCGTGGTAGCGCGCGCTTGTAGTTCCAGCTACTCCGAAGGCTGAGGCGGAAGGATCGCAGGAGCCCAGTGGGCGAGGCTGTGGTGGCCGGGAGCGGCCAATGCACTCTAATCTGAGCAACAGAGTGAGATTCCAACTCAAAAAAAAAAAAGAACACGTAAGATAATGGCAGCTCAAAAAGTTTCAAAAAATGGTAAGGGAAAGAAAACACAAACATATAATGTTATAAGATATTTTATAGTCACTCAGGAAAACATACATACACACCCCCAAAGAAAATAGAAAAGAAAATTAACTAAAGAAAATAACGCCAATAAATAAATTTCTAAAACATCTGATCTCACTAGAAATCAAAGGAATGAAAATTAATATATCATTTTTCACTTATGGCAAAGACTAAAAATCAATAACTAGTCAAGACATAGGCACTCTAAAAATTATGATTAACAGTACATAATGTATCTAGTGTGCAAATTGGCAATATAAATCAAGTCTTAAAAAGTACATCTGATCCATTCTACTTCTAGATTTCAAGCTAAAAAATTTTGTACAGATGTGTGTACAAGAATATTTACTGACTCTCCAGCATTAGTGAAAAGCAGAAAAATATGGGTACACCAATAAAGATTAGTCAATCAAATAACTAGTCTTCCCATGAAACCATTAAAGATGATGATTAAACCTATTAATTAATTGCCCCTGACATAATGCTGATTTTCAGATAGGCCACAGAGTGCACGCGCACACACACACACACACACACACACACACACAGAATATCTATCTATTGTACATCAGGCTTCCTCAACTTTCCTGCTACTTTGAAAGAGCTAAGCAGACATTCTGAGGAAGAAGAGCAAGAACATGGTAAGGCCTTAAGCCCTTGACAGCACTTTGGAGTCACTGAGTGACCTCCCCTAGAGAGGCTGTGGATTTTTTTATGTGAGATAATAAAACTTTCATGTAGATTAATCTAGTTGAGATAGGATGCTTCGCGATGTGAAGTCAAGGCATTAAGTGAAACAGTACTCTAAACTAAAATTAAAATAGGTTTTAGACTAATCACTTACCTTAAATGGGTATCTGCCAATTTCTGCCTCCAGCTCTTCTGGGGTAAAAATCTTGCCTATGAATCTTTTAGCATCATATATTGTGTTTTGAGGATTTGAATCTGCCAGCTCTAAGCTTTCATATCCCACATAAACATCACTGTCAGTAAAGGACACCATGCTGGGTATGCTGATATGACCATTTTCATCTGGAATCACCTTTACTTTTCCTGTGCCAGGAAAAAACACCCCAACGGAACAATAGGTGGTGCCAAGGTCAATGCCAATCACTTTAGGAGTAGGCAACGGTAAATACTGTTGTGCCAAATAGCCAGCCAACAGGAGAGTCAAAACAGCTGATCCTGAAATAGAGGCAAATTAAAATATAGATCTTGTCACACCAGTACAATATAGTAAATTACTGCAGCAAAGTCCCTTTAACATCACTCTTTGAAATAAGACTAAAATACAAATCTCAAAATATTTTTATATGACTAATAACAATGTGTCTCTCAGTCAGCATGCTTTTCATAATGTAAATTGTTACATTACAAGTAAAACTGAAGTAACAACAAAAACAAAAAAAAACCCTGTAACCGTATGTTTGTATATAGTTCACTAATGGGTGAATAAAGGGATGAAACATAAAAATATTTCAAAAATTGTGCTGATGCTGACAAGAAACACCATTCATCTGGAGCAAAAGCAATAATCCAATTTTCTTGACCAATTGATATTTAGACTTTTATAGCTATATAAATAACTTCAATTATCATTTAAAAGAAACCCATTATTAGATTTCTCCCAACAAAATCTTCGCTATTGCAAGGTTAAAGTATTGTATCTCAACTTATTTCCTTGTCAAAAGGATGAAATGCATAAATTGGATAAAATGATTTTGAAAATTGCTTAAGAGCACAGTTAACTTTTTACGTATGTTAGTCTGACACTCTTCTTGCAAAGGAAATATTTAGGGGAGATGTATAAAAATGGGCAACCTTGATGGCAACATATATGCAAACTCCTTGAAGACAGGCTTTGTTCCCTGCTGCATCCCCCATACCAGAAATAGCAGGTACCCAACAAATATTCGTTAAAAAATTTGTGTAAAAAGGCTGAATAGCAACAAATGTCATGCAGATTGTATACGTAAGGGAAACAAGATGTCAACTGGAATTTAAAATTAATCTCATATTTGGTATCAAGTGGCTGTGTTATACATCTGTGTGGCACTCACGCTACACATGACACAAAACGTCCATTTGCAGGACTCTGTTACTACTTGTACTCATTCTCATCTATCCATTACTCAAATAAATAAAACCAAGTGCCAAGCCCACTTTCTCTTCCATCTAAGCAAAATCTCTGAAGCATTTCATCACCTTTTGGATAGGGGAGGGTAATTCCCGACTGTACATCATAGAAGCCTGAATCCCTCCAAATTCAGCATCCCATGAGTCTACAGCTCCGGATGCTGCTGCTGCTCCTCCCCCAGTCCGCCCTCCCTCCCCCACAAAGGGGTCCCGGAGGTGCACGTTCTTGCAGTCTTCAAGAGATCCTAATTCACCCAGCAACTCCAAGCCGAGCTTCTGTTGACGTCCCCGGGATGTTCGCAGCGGGTCGGCGCCGGCGCTGGCTGGGCCTACACCACCCGGGCCCTCTAACAGGCGCCCCCACCCCCACCCGCTCCGAACAGCCAAAAGGCGTCTCTAAACCACGTCTCCAACTTCTCCCCCGACGCGCCAGCCGGACGCAGGAGGTGAGACGGTCACCCTCGCCCGCCCGGTCCTCTACAGTCCGCCTCTACCCCACCAACGGTACCATGGACCCTCCAGACACAGACCTAAGATCGTCATCTCTCCGGCCATCACAGTCCCGCGGAGCAGGCTTGGGATGACTGTACCTGACGTGAGGTCCCGCCCCCACGCCGCCTGGCGGTCGCGCAGCCTTCTGGGAAGTGTAGTCCGCTTGCTCTGACGCAGCCGGAGAAGTCACCGTTCTGACCCAAATAAGGACTTCAACTACCATGAGGGAGCGGGGCGGAGAGCCTCCTGTCCATCGCCGTCCTCCCACGCACGGCTTGCCGAGCCAATCAGATTGCGGTACAGGAGAATCGCGGCGCAGGACGGGCGTATACAAGCCCGCGAGCTTAGGCGACAGCTCCGTTTCTAGGCCCCGCCCCCGCTTTGCATTCTGGGAGGCGTCGTTTCCGCGGAGCGAAATTTCGCCGCTTCTTCTTTCCTTGCTCGCGTCCCTTACAGGCCCAGGGTTCAGTCCTCCGTTCTCTCGTTCTTGCCGCGGTCTAGAGTTCAGAGGGCGTCCCCCCTCGACCCCGCCATCCTGGCCGTAGGCCCCGTCACAGCGCAGGCGCGTGTGGGGGTCCGGGCGCCCCTCCTCGCGCCCTGGGTCAGCCCTGACCCAGGGGCCGCTCGGGCCTCTGCTTGTGTTGTGGGATCAGCTAATTCAAGCGTTCCCTCGTTAGGGCGGCTTGTCTTAAGAGCAGCGACACTTTCTCTCTGTGGCTAACACCGAAGTGGGCCATTAAAGCAACGAATTTCAAACAAACCTTAACTTTCTCTGGAACTGAAGTCTTAAGTGGCCAGTATGGTTTTTAGGGGCCAGTCCTATAAAGTGTGGCCACGTAAGAAACTTGGGACGTGTTTTTCATGTTCTGGGCTGTAGCAGGATTTTCCTCGCGTCTGGGTCACTGGCAGGATTTCGCGGTTTCTTCTGGGAGTGGTTTTGACATTATTGCTGTTAAAGTTCACGAAGACCAACATCCTGGAGACGTGAACCGAGTCCTCACCTTCTATAGAAATCAGAGCATCCCTGATGACCGACAGGTCAGCTTGCTGTGGGAATCATCGCCTTTGGCTTCCTAGCCGATTTAAATATCGAACTGTGCAGACTGACGATGGAGCTGAGTGATAGCATCTGGGGCTTCGTTGTCACAGTCTCTGTGTATTTTTGAGTCGTCCATAATGTGAAGTATCAAAAGTGTGTCTGTAATGAGTGCTACTCAGAGTCTTAAGAAAAATGCATGATTCGAGCCCTGAGTTCCTGAGTATTAGGAATAAAAGAGCAGTGGACGAGGCGTTCCAGGCAGAAGGAATTGAAACTCTGAGCATCAAAGGGGACAGACATCCATCCCCTAGGTTGAGAAACTGCTGGGTAATAAAGCAGGAAGTGGAAGTCCGAGAGACAGGGCTGGAAACAGAAGCCAGATGGAGAGGATGAGTTCTATTTCTGGCCGGCACAAATCGTTGCAGTTTTCCCTACCACCCTCTCGCCTTGCTGATGAGATACTGATTTGTTCAAGAAGTAGTAGAGATGAGGTGTTATCAAGGAGGAAGGCCTTTAAACCGGGGGAGAAATTAAGATGAAGCTAAACAGGTTGTACTCACTCTTTTTCTGCCTGAACCAGTTAACTATACATATAGTGCCTTACACCCTTTGACAGTTCTGTACATCAGAAACCTGGTACTGATCTGTTTGGACTAAAATCAAGTTGTTAGCAGGGTTACGCTCCTTTATGGAGGTTCTAGGGGAGGATCTGTTTCCTGCCGATGTGAGTTGTTGGCAGAAATTACTTCCTTGAAGTTGTAGGATTGAGGTCTCCATTTTATTGTTGGCTGTAAACTGGGGGCCCTTCCCAGATTCTGAGGCCAGCCACATTTCTAATCTCAGAAACCCGCTTCCTGTAGCCTCAGCAACAGTGCATTAGGTCCTTCACAGAGGACATGTTTTTTGCATCCTTCTTCCAATTTTTTTTTTTTTTTTGAGTTGGAGTCTCACTCTGTCGCCCAGACTGGAGTGCAGTGGCCGCTCGCGGCCACCGCAGCCTCAACCTGCTGGGCTCCGGCGATCCTTCCGCCTCAGCCTTCCAAGTAGCCAGAATTATAGGCATGTGCTACCACGCCCAGCTGATATTTTTTGATTTATTGTAGAGATGAGATCTCGCTGCCCAGGTGGGTCTCGAACCCGCGGGCTCAGGCAATCCACTCACCTCAGCCTCCCAAAGGCGCGGGATTACAGGCTAAGCCACCGAGCCTGGCTCTTCTTCCATTTCTTAGAGGTCATGTGATTAAGTTGGATTTACCCGGATAACCCCAAGATAATCTCTCCATTTCAAATACTATAGTCTTCTTATATATGCACCATGTATGGAAATATATTCATAAGGTCCAGGAATTCAAATGGGAACCTTGCAAGTCTATGATTGTACCTACCACAATTTGTTCTGTGTTCCTCCAAATTTATATCTGTTCACATACAAAACATAATATTCACCAAAGTCTCATCCCGTTACAGCATCTATTCGAAGTTCAGAAAAGCTTATCTACATCTTTTCAGCTCAAAAGTCTCGAATTTAATTATCTAAATCAACTAAATTGGGTAGCAACTGATGCCACTTATCCCTTCTTGTTTGTTTACAGTCAGAGGAGCAATGAAGTACTTAGATAAGAATACTAGTCATTTCAGGTGTTTCTTAGGGTTCTAGTAGTGTTATAAAAATCAGAGAACTCAAGGAACTCAAATCAAGAAACAAGGAAGAGGGCAGGAGCATGGAAAGAAACATGGACCCACTGGAAAGGACCTTCCCCAAAACCTGAATTATTTTCTGGATTTGTGGATTGTATCTCCATGGAATTATTCTTTGGAGGGTGAGTCCCTTTGTAGTACAGGCTTCCACACTATGTAAATGTTCTAGAACCCTACTGACATCAGTTTACCAGCTAGCATTGTTGTGAGAGGCTGCATTTGACTTCAGTTAATTTTTTTGGAGATTCTTTTAACGCATTTGCCCATTTCATGATGGGTGATTTACGAGCATACCTGCCCACACCATGTTGAGTGTTAAGCAGTTTTTGACCAAATGTGGCATGACTCCTGTACTTCACTCTCCCTATTCACTTTTTTTGTTTCCCTGAATGAAAGAGAATTCCCAAAGAGAAACATTTTGTTGTTGTGGAAGAGGTGAAACAAAAAACAGCAGAAGCATGAAAAGGCATCAAAATTGACCAGTTCAGAATAGTTTCGAGCAGTAGAAAAAGCTTCTCAAGAGGTGTATTTATATCAAATGGAGAGTACTTTGAGGGTGACTGAAGTTTAAACATATAAGAATAAATACAGAATTTTTAATAAATTCTGGCTTCTTGGGGACCCCCTTCATATTTATTTCTTCATTTGTCTTAGCCGGGAGTTAATACCTGCTAGAACTCAAATCAAGAAACAAGGATGAAGGCAGGAACATGGAAATAAACGTGGACCCATTGGGAAGGACCCTCCCCAAAAAACTGAATTATTTTCTGGATTGATGGATTGTATCTCCATGGAATTATTCTTTGGAGGGTGAGTCCCTTTGTAGTACAGGCTTCCACACTATGTAAATGTTCTAGAACCCAACTGACATCAGTTTACCAGCTAGCATTGTTGTGAGAGGCTGCATTTGACTCCAGTTAATTTTTTTGGAGATTCCTGCCCACACCATGCTGAGTGTTAAGCAGTTTTTGACCAAAAGTGGCATGACTCCTGTACTTCACTCTCCCTATTCACATTTTTGTTTCCCTGAATGAAAAAGTTCCCAAAGAGAAACATTCTGTTGTTGTGGAAGAGGTGAAACAAAAAACAACAGAAGCATGAAAAGGCATCAAATTGACCAGTTCAGAACTGTTTCGAGCAGTAGAAAAAGCATCTCAAGAGGTGTATTTGTATCAAATGGAGAGTACTTTGAAGGTGACTAAAAATCCAGAAAATAATTCAGTTTTTTAATTTTTTTTGGCAATCCTTCTGCCTCAGCCTTCCAAGTAGCCGGAACTATAGACGCATGCTACCATGCTGGCTGATTTTTGATTTATTATAGATATGAGGTCCCGCCAAGTTGCCCAGGTTGTTGTTGTACCTGTGGGCTCAGGCAATCTGCTCACCTTGGCCTCCCAGATGCTTTCTTACACAATAAAGAAATATATATATATATATATATGTCCCATACAACAAACCAGCACCAAATTTTGAATCATTGCCAGTAAAATTGAGAATGAGAGAATATTTTCCATTTATAATTATTATGCTCAATATTGCTCTGGAATTAGCAGCCAGTGCAAGGGACCAAGATACAAGGTATAAGTTTGATGAAAGAATAAAGAGGCACATTTATTATTTTTTAATTATGTGATTACATAGGGGAAATAAATCAATAAACCGAAATACCTGAGAAGCAATAAGAATTGAATAGGGAGCTTCTACAATAACATTATACAAAAATAACTTTCCAACTTGCAAGCAATAACCATTTAGAAAAAATATATAGCAAGAAAGATTTCACTTATGGTAACAAGCAAAAGGTAAAATCCATAGAAGTAAATTTAAGAATAAAAGAAGAGAGCTTTCAAACTCTTCTAAGACTTGAACAATGCACATAAGTAAATTAAAAGACAGCACTTTCCCTAATGTTGCCAATTCATTGCTGTTATAGTTTTTGTTTGGTGTGATATGTTTCAATTCACTGCCATTATTATCTTTCTTGAGGCTGTGATTATTTCCTCTCTGGGCAATGGCAGCCTCTTCAAAACTCTCTCATGACTGCTTTTTGACACAACCATGGTAGGCTTTACTTACGTTTTTGGCTACCTGCTCTGAAAAGAGACTTTAGGATCCTCTTAACTCTTTGGGGGGAGGAGGTACACATCGAAAATCAATTATATCTCTAAACACCCTTACTCTTATTAGAATGTGGTATTTGGAGACCATAATTTGTGTGCTAGGGGGCTATTATTTTAAAGGTGCCAGTTCACTTTATATTTTAAAAAATTTTGATGATAGATAAAATGTCAATAGGATATTTTGTAACTTTACAAAGTGACAAGAAAATTTATTTGGAATATTTCAGAATAAGAATTGAACAAGCGAATTTCCTTTTCACAAGTTAAAACAAATGACAATACTACACACTTTAAACTACAGAGGAAATAGAAAATGGACATGTTGAGCTTGGTGCTACATGCTTGTAATCCTAGCTATTTGGGAGGGTCACTTGAACCCAGGAATCTGAGACCAGCCTGG